CCCCACGAGGTTTCTGCCGGGGGGGGGGGGGGGGGGGGGGGGCGCACTAATGTCATGCCTTACGTTAAAAGACCGTCCACGAAACGTCCTCGAAAGGACACAGCATTGGGGGGGGATTTTCGCAAACGGTGACGGTTTCATTTCATTGAAACCAAGCAGTGAGACGGCCGTATGAAAACGGATCGATCCAAGCACGCACACAATCCGTCGGGCGGGGGGACAATAAAGAGTCTTGGAGATGTTCCGCTACAAAGCTGACCGCCAGGTATCTAATGAGGCTGATACAATCACATTCAAGGGGAAAAACAAAACCAGGACGACCGAAAAAAAACAAATGGTGGCCACTGGAGGCCTTGAAAGCCAAGCGGCTTTTGAATGGTACGGATATTCCATGGTTCAAGAGGAAGACGCCGCGTACCTGTCTTTTCCCGTTGCCTCGCCCCGGCCGTTGCCGCTGCTTGTAACTTGATATCTGAGTCAAAGGCCGGCACGAAAAACAAACACACACCGTGGTTTGTTCGGACTGCATCGTTAGTCAAATCACAGAGAGAAATGAGGGCAGCAACAGAACGTCCGCGGTCTCGCTTCAGCGTGGTAAGCACCGCAGGGCGAGGATAGGCTCCAGGAAATGGGTGGCATTGCCTTCTCTTGATCCAAGCGGGATAGGGTGTTGAGACGAGGAGGTGTTTGTTGTTTGTCACCCTACTCATTTCTCAAAGCAAGGAAACAAGCACAGGGCAATCAAATTCGTCTCAAAATGAGGAACAGCGAGCAGAAAGCAGCAAGTAGGTATGCCCGACTGCGGTTGAGCACGCACCATACATGGCCCTTAATGACAAACTGAGGCTTCCACCTCTTTGCGTACTTTCCCCTTGCCCCTCACACTTACACACGCACCTATTAATAGTTCATGTGTTGCTTACCACATGATTTCACGCTTTTCGGTCAAATGCGGGCTAGCTGTACAATCACAAGACTGCATCAGAGAGCCTTGAACAACAACAAGAAGGGCAAGATCACACACCAACCCAACAGGCGGTGGGGAAGGAAAGGCAAGCACCGGCACCTGGCGTTACTCCTGGTCCTGCCACCGCCATTGCCGTCGTTGTCGTTGTCCTTGTCCTTGTCCTTCGCCTTGGCGGAAAGTATGCCTCGGACGGCTTTGGACATGCCCACCCCGGCGGCAAGATTGAACAGCGGCAGCGCCGGGAATACGAACCTCAGCTCCTGCGGCGACGCGACGAACTGCCACATAAGCTACAGGATAAAAATGTACCTGGTGCTCAACATAATCGATTTCGCTCAGCAAAGAATGAGCGGGGAGTCGATACTCAATGACAACCCAACGTGCTCGACCAGTCGTGATATTCTTGCACTAGACAGAGGCAGATCAACAGGGGCTGAGGTAGGCAGCTAGCCAGCAGGAGGTAGACAGCGAGCACTGGGGCCTACCTTGTGCGGCAGCGCCGAATAAAGGGACACCATGGCTACCCCAGGCAGGAAGTACGAAAAGACCTGCAGGCGGAGAGGAAAACAACGTCGCAGAAGAGACGCAATAAAGGTACGTAAGAACACGACCACAAAAACAACGCTTCTGACGATACAAGAAAAAAAAATGAGCGTCGCCGGGAAACAGCAGCAATGCCGGAGTGAGGGGGTGAGCTGGCGCATCGGGGCGGAGGAATATGGTACGGGATTCCGCAACAGCAGTGCCGGTCCTCTTACAGTACTGCACGTTCAATTTCCAACTGCTGTATCAGAACAGCATAATAGGTTCACCGCGACACGCCTCCTCAAAACCGGTCAAACTATTGATTGATGACACAAACCGTCAAACACTAGAAGTAGCGGCACACCCGATTACAACCAACCGCCTTCTGCCTACATGCCTACTTCTTCCACCTGCTTGCTTGGAGCGCAGAAGAAAAGAAGAAGAAAAAAAAAAACTTGCCTGGGAGTCGATAATGGCCTCCGCTGCTGCGGGTCGGCGCAACAGCTGGAGGGGCCGCGAAGGGTCTCTAAGAAGGCCGATCGGTATGAGCAGGGCCGTGCCCGAGAGTGCTCGTGGTAGCGCGGAAACAAAGTACCTAAGGACGAATAGGCGGTGGTGCGGGAAAGAATACTTATTGATTGTAAGGGAAAAAGAGGTACAGGGGCGGCATTGCGGAAAGAAAGAAGGAGCGGGAGATGAAGAGCAATGACAAAAAAAAGGTGCTTGTGGAGAATTCTCCGTCTCACCAGTAGAACGGCATTTCTCCCCACTCCGAACTCCGGTTGGCCACCGTGTTGAAGAGCAGTACCTGGCTCTCGGGCCACACCCACCTGAAAAAAAAAAAACGAGATATCGATCATCATTCGCCCGTTAGTCGAAACGAAAAAACACCGTCCGAACGACCCAAGGACTGCCTTTTCTGGGTCCGCCGGGCTGCTAGAGATACCAATCGCCACGTCTAGCTTGTTTGTTCCGTATCACGCCCATGGCTGCCGAACACTTTCGAACTGCCTTGCCATCACCAGCGCGCCGTGTTAGCAAATCGGAATTTTTCTCCTCGAATTTCGAAGGCCATCCTCCTAACGTGGTTCACATTCTACAGCCAGGCCGAAAGGCCCCTCCCAACCCCCGTCTCACCTTCCCCAGAGCGCCGAGTCCAGCAGGAAGGAGGCCACCAAAGACGGAATGCCCCACATGAGTCCGGCCGTGATCACTTCCAAGGGGCGCACCCGCCTGAACGGAGAAAAGAAGACGCAACAGACATACGAAAGGGGTGGGGCTGTACTCAAGTAAAAGCATGCCTCAGTTGATAGACCGTTGACCTCGCATCCTTACAATGCCGGACCGGAGCGATATGCCGGATTCTTCTCCGGCCCGGGCTACATTTCACAAGGACGAACCAGAAGCTGGTCATCATCCGTATAAGTCAAGAGGAGAGCGGGGCGGTACCGCGCGTAGAAACAATCATCAGGCGGTGAACGAGGGGGTGCCCCCAGAAGCTACATTGTAAGACGGAGGCATCTTGGGTAGCATTCGTGCACCCGCCCTGGGCGTTTGGCGACTAAACAAGCATTCCAAATATGTATTCGCCGACTTGTCACCAAAAAGTGCCTCATAAGACCCGACATGAGCTCTGCCCCAACGCGAGGACAAGCTCGCTCACCCCGTCAGCAGGAGCTGCAGCGTCAGGGGCCCAAGCAAGACCACCACATCGCACCGAAAGACCAAGGTGGCCACGGTGAACAGACCCAGGGCCCGAGGCACGTTGTCTCGCAGCCAAGCCTGCATGCCGTGGTACGTAGGATACCGGGCGTTACGGAGGGGAAAGAAGCAGGCCGGGCGTTCGCTCGGGAAAAGAACAAAAAAAAAAGAAGATTGCGGAATCATTTGCCCGCAAGCAACTACCGTACATGACACAAGATAACACCCCGGCGATAACATTTTGGGCCTTAAAAAATATTATCACCGGGTGTGGTATCTATCCTGTGGGGGGGGGGTGGTATCTTATGTACCCCGGGTGATAAAGTGCAGCTCGCAGGGGCCCCCAAAGGGGGCGTAATAAACCAGGGGGTGTGACAGCACGTCCGAACGCGCACAGGGTGTGTTTGGGGGTGTGACAATGAGGGTGTGTGATAAAAAGGAGGTGTTGTAACACTTATTGTAGAGTTGAACCGCTGCTGCCGCACGCTTGGTTGGTATTGCGGGGGTGTGATTGCAGTGCCTGTAAAACACTTCATGACTTGTGGTTCTGCGGATGTGGTAAAACAAAGGAGCTCAACGGAGGTGATGGAACTCCTGAGCACATGACTCGGTGGCCACAGAGTGCGCCATCCGTCCTGCCCCCTCACACAAAAAAGTAGGCTCCTGCTACCTGCTATTGGGTACGACCAAAAGAGAGTTACGCAGACGTTGTGTGTGAGAGATGCCCACATGCCCACATGCCCACGGGGCAGATGATGTATCACCCCGGTGATAGAATGAGGAGCCCCGTGAATGTATGCGGCGTAACCTCGAGAGGTGTGTTATCTTATGTAGCCCCGGTGATGAATCGATGGTTTGTAAGAAACGCCCAAAATTATCACCGGGGTGTCGAATTCTGTGGGGTGTGTGGTTTCTTAGGTGGGTGTGTTATCTTGTGTCGTCTACGTATTTTGGGGTAATTAACACGGTGACCGCTCGTGCTTGCCGTTGACGACCAAACAACCAACCGTGATTTATCAAAGGCCCGAAATCGTTGCCTGTCAAGGAAGATGTTGCTACTGTGGCTGCGCCCATTTACTGGGGCGTCACAGCAAAAACTCCAGCAACTGCAATGCCAGCCGTAGCAGCAGCAGCAGCAGCAGCAGCAGCAGCAGCAACAGCAGCAGCAATAGCACTAGCAGTAGCAATAGCAGAAGGAAACAACAACAACAACTGCGACAACAACAACAACAACAACAGAAACACAAACACGACAACGACAACAACAACAACAACAACAACGACGACGACGACGACGACGACAACAACGACAACGACAACAACAACAACAGCAACACCTGCATTTAGGCTCACACGAGGAGCAAGACACACCTGCAGCGCTAGCAGGACGACGCACAGCGCGAACACGTTGGGCAGGGTGCGGCTCATGTAGAACGGCAGGTGGAACTGGAGGGCCCACACCCCCGCTGCCCACCCGGCCGGAGCATCCCCGAACCGAAATGCCACCGCGGAGTTGAAACGCCGGAACGCTAGCCAGCACAGAAGCCCCAGGGCTAGGCGGGCAGCAACCTGCACGTTCGTTTGTTGCGGCCGAGGCGAAAGTCAAACCGCCATCGACACCTTCGTTGACTTTAGGAGCGGGTTTTGCCCGCCGCTACCTTGGATTGAAAGATAACACGCACAAAAGAGCATTGACAAGATCCATGAGGGCACACCTGGGAGGCCAGCCTGGTGGAAAGGTCCGCGAAGAACGCCTCCACGGCGATGTGAAACGGCGATGAAACGGTGGCGACTACGGCGGCTCCCAGGAACGTTCTGGGGACCACTCCTGGGAAATCGTTGTGGTCGTAGGATGCCAGGTCTTGGCGGTGCACCAGCAGGTCGTGGATTGCCTTCAGCAAAAAACAAAAAGAAGCGTGAGATGGATGCAAGTTTGATTGCGTCCATGCGATGGAAGGCACAAAGGTCGGAGGAAAGCTTGCTGGGTGGTTCAAAGAGAGGGGTGTTTGTTTCGAATCGGCCAAGCCTACCGAGTCGACAATAAAACGACATCGGGGTCACTGACGGCAGCTCCAGGGGTACTTCCATCGGAAACGATCTCGTGGACAACTATCCCTCAATACCAGGACATGGTATATTCCACAACTGAGACCAAGGTCAAGCACCAAAAATCAGCATCAAATACCAATCTGCCTTCGTCATTCGCGTTGGCTTGTTTGCCCAAACACGACTTCAAAAACAGCAGTGCTTGTTGGAGGTCAACTGACGGATCGGTGTGAGTAGTGTATGGTAAACTTGTTCGCGACAAACGTTATCCAAGCATGTGAGGCCAGCTGTAGGATCCATGTTGAGCGTTATAGGTTTTGGTGCGGTCGAGCGTAAGTCATTCATCCATACATGTTTGTCCAATGTGTGCGGCACTGACGAATGGTTGGGTCCTACGTACGCATATGTCATCCATGTGTGTTAGCCAGGCAGCAGGAGCACCAATTGCTCATGAGCTGGTGATGCTTGTGTAAAGACGCCGACAGGCGCTGTCGTGATCTTTCCAAGTACCCACATCATCAGTGACAGCATCATGCGTGAAACGGCGACAGGAGGATGGCAACTAAATAATCATGAAGACCGTCAAATACGGGCGTACGGGGCGACTGGGATGGTCGGAAGTCGCGTGGGCAGCCAGGTTGGGGATACAGGCGGCTTTGAGATGGCGCGTCGCAGACGATCCAACTGAAACTCCTCTCAAGTGCACGCGACACCCACAGCTGGTTCGTTTCCCTTAAATTTCGATTCCTTGCCGTTCCTGCCTTGTCGGCATTTGTTACAGACGGATGCGACATAGTTGGCGGTGCTGTTGTAGCCAGATCTCACCAAACCTTAACCTTTACAGACAGCCGACCGCAGGCTGCAGCAGTAGACAAGGATATTGGTGTTTATGTATGGTGGACTCAGCAGTGATTAATATCGAAGTTAGTCAACGTGGCAATACCATCGGGTGCTGGACGTAGCAGTCCAATCCCAGGAACAGTTGCCATGATATGCAAAGAGTGCATTTTTACGCTGGGGCAACGTGCGGTATCCTGGGGCAACGGGTGGCGAGCTCTCGCGCAGTTACATATCATATGGTATACGGAGTACACCAGTAGACTAGTTGGTTCAATTTTTTCAAAACTCGAACTCGCGCACCTGAATGTTGAAGCTCTCTTCCACCTTGGTGAAGGGGCATAGCAACGCATGCGTGACTATTACCGCAAGTAGAACCACCTCAGCAACCTTTCTCCAGCCTCGTGCACGCATGCTCGGTCCGTGAGCTGGCCTGGTTGCCGTGCTCTGTGCCTGCTCCCAAGGGTGAAGAGTGGTCGCGCCGGTATGTACGTCTACGTCCTCGCTCCAAACCGTTTCTCGAACGGGCAAGTCACAGGCATGGAAGCATGCCCGAAACTAGCTGCAGATGCAACCAACAACCGCTGCCAAGGGGGCTTGAATCCACACGACGCAGGACGTACGCATATGCAGCGCGGGACGTTGCGGGGCTTGGGGGGACAAGATGGGGGGCGCGCGAATGGGGATGAATCACCTGTGCTCGGGTTTCGAAACGTTCGGGATGCCAGACGGTTCTCTCTCTTGTCTGCCCTCCCGTGCATGAGACGATGAGACGTATCCGTACACATCGTTGTCTTTTCTCGGATTGTGTGCCTCATTGCAGTAGTCATCACCAGCTACAAGGTGTTTCGGCGGTGGGCCAGCGAGTCCCCACTGAACCGAAAGGTACGCAATATGCGAAGCGGAAGACTACACAGATTGGCTAACACTAGATCTGCGGCAGCTGTGCCGGATCTACAGTACAGCACTGATTGGGAGAAAGGGATGCAACTGAGTGACAATGCATGACACCAACAGACTACAGATACCGTAGCCCTCTTGCTCGAATACAGAATGCGTTCGCACTTAAGAACCTCTAGTTTTGGGCTAGGTTGGGGTTCTCATATTGAGTTTTCGTATATGTACGATTGTAAAACAAGCCGCTCGCCCCCGGTGTTTGCCATCGGGGTTGGGTTTTCATCGCTTGGCAGCGATGTTGTAAAACAAGCCGATCACTTCGTGAGCTCGGCAACCAGGTTATCGCTTTTTTTTTTTGCTTTTGTTTTTTTTGTTGTTGCGGTAAGTATACTGTAGGGTCACTGCTACGATGGTCGCTGTAGACTACTGTATACCAGGGTTTTATCGTATAGGGAGCGCACAAATGGTGCTCAAGTTCATAAGTGAGGGCGCGTTTCGTGAACCCCATTGCCCGTACTGCTGCTGTAATCGATGGGGTGTACATATGAAGTGCTTAAAAAGCCCTCGAACTTGCTCGGTCACCACGTACGAGCTGGGTGTATCCATTACTTTCACCAAGAGTGGACCCAAGCCGACCGGCTTATTGTTCTGAAACCCAAACCTGGACGGCGTAGTTGGTTGTGTATGCAGCAGCAGCTTCATGACTTTACAGTAGGGGCCCGGCAGGAGACAAGAAGCATCAATTTCGAGCCGAGCCTCAAGTTCTCATTTCGCCACCACCGTCGTTAAAAGAGGCGGCAGAGCCTGGAAAGGATTTCAAGCGGGGGTGGCTACACGTTCCATAGGCCCGTTGGTGGCGCGGAGACTTACGCAAGGCAACACAAGCAAGGGAGATGCGAAGTATCTGAGAAGAACGCGAGGGCTGGAAATTTTGAGGGCTCCGGCAACTACGGGATACAGGGCCTGCGGAAATCGCCGCGTGAGAGGAGTTCACCACGGAGGACCTGTCGACCGACTGGGGGGAAGGACAGAAGAGATGTTCCGCCGTCGGCAATTTCACACAAAGCCAACTGCATCGGATTCTCTTGTTGGAGGGGCGAAAACGCTTCGCGACACAAAAGAGGTACGCTGATTGCGAAACCATTCACGACCGCATGGGCACCATAACCCTCAGAATCCCAAAATATGTGACATTTCGTCTGCACCACTGTAGTTTGCATCAATCTATGAACACGCTCGGCACGATAGAGTCTAACGTAACCAAGCGTGATTGGCCTCCGTTGTTTCATCGCAAATGAAACTGAGCGCTAGTTCGGACCAAAGTAGGTCGCCGTGCCAGCGGGCTAGGGGTGCAAGAGGCACATTCGTTTTCCCCGTATTCTCGGGGACCTTTTGGAAGCGCGCCGAGGTTGAAGCCTACCTACAGCCATCAAGAGTCCTCCCACCGGAACGTGGATTCGCAGCAACGATTCTTCGTTGTTTCCGCATCGTTTTCCTGGCGAGACGTCCTCCTTTACTACACCGCCACAAAACTCTGTTCGAATGAGAGATGATTCTCTTGATTTCGAGTTCTGGGGCAGGCATTGGCTAGACTGCGTCTCGGACGTGGCCGGAACGTCATTGGGTGACGCACGCACGGAACGTGCTGATTTTCTCTCTTTTCGCCTCCATACATGTGCAGTGCTAGCGTGGTTTAGCTTTCGCTGACATGACCCGTCGGCCACATGCATTGTCTATAACGCGGTCGTTGTTCTTCTCCCACTAAAAACACCTCGGCTACGAGCGCGGAGAAGTCTCGAGACAGACGCTGCCCATCGGCGACGGCTCGATTACAGTTTGTGTACGTGGTTTCGTTCCTGCTATGATTCCAAGACTGCGATCTTGCCGACGGATTTGTTGCCACTTTGTTTCCCCTCAGGAGGAGAACGAAGAAAAGGAAGGTAGAGATCGCGCTGTCGGGTTCCAATTCAAGGAAGTTGGAACACTCGCCAATCGAGCGAAAAACCCCGTCGGTAAGAGGTGCAGGGGTGTTGGCGCCTTCATTGATGCCGCTGGTGTTGCTGCCCGGCATGTGAATCCTGGACACGCTTTGGTGCATAGTCTTCCTGTCCGTCCGCCTGGCAACTGGGGCAACACGACCAACGCGAGGCACCGCCAAAATCGCTTGCGTGTTAGAAAAACTACCATCGATGGAAAGGTTAAGAGAATTCACGGTAGATAGTGTAATAGCAACATGTTCCGCTGTGACACGCCGACAGCAGTGCCCCACATAATTTCTCCTAGCATTTGGAATTGTCGCAATCGTTACCTGCGGGTTAGACGACGGCGAGACATGAACGTGTTGGGTAGGCTCAAGTGTAGTGTTTAATGTTCAATATTTATCACTCTTTGGCCAGACGAGCGCACCCAAAATCGACCGAACAAACCAACAAGAACAAGGACATGAACAAGAACAGCTGCAGCAAAGTAACACAATCTCGAACACAGCGGTTTTCCTCCCTCATGTGGTGCAGTGTTTCTGGACGTATCGATCGGCGGCGTACCTGCGAGGCTGACCTTCGAGCTGCGGAAGGACATCGTACCTCGCACGGCCGAGAACTTCAGATCGATATGCGCGGGCGATCGGTAAGATTGCATCGGCGAAGGACGTGGTATCGTGAGTAAAGAGGGAGACGGGCATTTCAAGTAGAGGTATTCGGAGAGGGGTGTCCATGCGAAGCAAGTGACAAAGGAGGGGTGGGCACAAGCGGTGCATGTGTTCAACAATTATTCTCAACGCCAACCACGCGATTGCAGACATCGAAAATCACATCAACTAATTGACACCGTGCTCTCAACCTTTGCGTCAAAGGGCCGACACGCAAGACGGCACTCGGCTCAGCTATCAAGGATGCGTGTTTCACCGGGTCATCAAGGATTTCGCTGTCATAGGCGGAGACATTGCCGTGAGTGATGCGATATTTGACCTTGGAACACCCACAGGGAGTTGCGAAGCGTCGAAAACGAAACGGTTGTGGATGCTTAGATACATTGGGTTGGGGTGCGGCAGTAGCACTTTGAAACTCAAATATTTTTCGCCTTTTCCCCCCGAAATTTGTCGAACGTGTCCGTGTTGGCCCGACTTGCATTCAACGCGGCTTTCAAACGGGTGGTGACCTAGTCGGCAGTCGGACACGACTGATAAGCAAAAAACGTTTGCTCTCTCCAAGCCAACAAAGGAATCGACAGCCGAGCGTTGGCGCAGTTCAAAGGTAGGAGAGTCACTTGTTTGCAGAGTAGTAACTCAATGGCCGACGCGTCTGAAGACACCAGGGACTAGCAGCCGAGTACATCGCCAGCAACGTAGCCAACATCAAGCGCCCAAACCACGAAGCTTGTGCCAGTGCCATGTCCGCCACCGTATGGTGGACACGTCGATAGCGGTAGGACGCAGAGGCAATGCCGAGACCCAGAGACTCAGCGGTGGGACACGGATGAGCGCAGATCCACGTGATTGCCAACAGGTTCGCAACAGGCCACCCCCGTGTCTCGATGAACTCTGTTTCCCGCAACGATGTGAAGAAATTGTCGGCAACGCAACGCCACTGCGGTATCCTTTCGTGGCGCTTACAGAGGCACGACGGCACAGGGAGAGCGTCCATCTACGGCGGACATTTCGCAGACGAAAATTTCGTGCTCAGGCACACGGGGCCCGGAGTGCTGACCTGCTGCAACGCTGGCCCAGACACTAACTCCTCCGCCTTCATGATCACGACGGTCGAGGTGCGCCAGTGTCTATTGAACGGTGGTGTCGGGAAAGTTTGTGGCAGTTTCTATCTTGATTTTTTGCCTTGTTCTTCACCTTTTCTGCCGCGCGCGCGATTCCTGAAACAAGATACACACTGTGCTGTACTGAATGACGAGAGAACAACCGATCGCTTGAAGATCGAACTTCGAGGTTTTGTCGAGTTGCGCTCTTGACTATAGAGTCTTTGTTTCTTACTCGTCGTCATCGCCATCGCGATCGGTCTCAACCGAAAAAGGGGCAGGGTGTTGAGGTATGCATGTTGATCGTTGTTGTCAAGGTAGAAGGATCCATTGTTGAGGCAGCCCGTTGTTGTCGTGGTCATGGGGTTTTGTTGTTTCTGCAGTTGTTTCGGCTTTGCTGTCGTCATTGTTGTCCATTTGGTTGTTGTTTTGGTTGTGGTCGCCGTTGTCTTCGCCGTTGTCGTTGTCGTTGCTGTTGCTGTTGACTGTGGTTGTTGTCCTCGTAGGAACAGCTCGTCTGCGCTCACCGCGTAAAACTCGCCCCCGACCTATACAGAGTAGTCTAGTTACGGTCGTGGATAGGAGAATAAAATGTGTTTCATATCTTTGTACCGGCTCCCATAACTCAGCTCCCGGTTCGCTCTACGTGTGGGTAAAAAACTATGAAAAATATGTTCGGTGTTTCGTCTTTCAGCACGGCCCGTTGCTGAGCAGCTGCAGGGATTTCGCTGTACATCGTTCTCGCAGATGCCCGGATTATGCTGAGTTCTGTAGAGGTCATATTTCCTTGCCTATGACCCGACATGCTGGAAGTGCCCACGTACCACAATTTCATCCCGGCATCCTGACTCTGCACGTATCTCTACTCTATTTCTGGGTATGCTCTAACGCAGGCTCCATGGTTGAACGGTCGAAGCGTTGCTTTTGGTTGCCTCGCCAATGCCGAATCTTTCGACGCCCTGGAAAAGTTGGAAGCCTGCGGAGTTGAAGGTGGACGCCCCTCTGTCTACATTCAGGCAAGCTACACAAAGTTGCCAGCGGTTGGTGCCGATGATTTGGCCTTGTTGCCGTGCTACCACCATGCTTGCCACCTCCTCACTGTCCATCCTTCCGGAATATTGCGAACGCAAAATGCAGTTGATGCGACGAAGGCAGCAACGAAACGCCTACAGTTTTAGTACTGGACCACAGCAAAACCTCACGAAGCGAAAGAAAGGTGCACGGCCCGGCCAGTGGCACATCCACAGAAAAATGAGGTACACGTTTTGACCGAAACCTCACATTCGCAGAGAACGCGAGGCAATAATTAATTGCAAGCTTCTTCTCCCGTCTAAATGGGTCGGTCGAAAATTTGACGACTCCTCGCTCTTTTCTGCGATGTTTACCGCTCTCACATGTTATCGTAATTTACTTTGGCAACCCTGTTCAACGCGACCCGCATGCCAAGTATTCTGTGACGTAATTCTCATGTCCACATTCGTTTGTCTTTCTGACAGCAGATCACCGCGTGCGGACAGCTATTTCCCCCCCAGGAAAAGCCACCGGCGACGAAACCGCTCGCCTCAAGACGCAGGCGATAGTGAAATATAGTACACTCCATTTGACGGGTCGAGAGGCCCGTTGACTGTGAATGATACCACTCCGTTCTTGGATGTGAACTTCCGGGAAATGAAGGGGAACACATTTTGTGTCTGCAGTGGCTGAGAAAGCCTGAAACCTACAGTAGCAATCCCGGGAAAAGGGTTTAAAAAGTGAACTCCTGTGCCCCGGCTAGAACACAAACGTGAAAACGACGAGATTTTCCTGCTCAGGCTATGCCGCGCCGTGTCGAGCTTTCAGCTGCTTCAAGGCCGATGCCTTCAACAGTTTGGTAGCGGCTTCTATGCAAACCGCCCATCCCCCCAGTCAGTTTTAAGGGAGAAAATAGCGCTATTGTAAACGATATGTATGCTGTACCGTGTCGCACAATATTTTGGTGGGCGACCGTATAGACTGCACAGTGATCAAGTTGCAGATGGTCTGGATTGTAGCTTGTCCATCGCCAAGAGGCTTACCACTGATTCACCCGACGTCCCCCGTGATGCCCGAAGATGCATCAGTCCTGCGACGAAAGATGACAACAATATTCTCACACTCGAGTGGTTAAGGGTAGTTGCCCTTGGACACTGCAGCACAATGTGCTAATCATTTTGGAGAGAACGATCAATCCGTATCTTTTTCTACCAATTGGAGCGGATTGGCCCAAACCAACTCGTTAGGCTGTCGTTCGTCCGTACACAGTCATTTCGGCGTGGGTGCAACCTGCCCTGGCCAAATTCATTCGAAGAGATATCTCGCTCCATGGCGGTATCGGCCGTTGGAGTGAAACGGTCTGTGAGACAGCCATTCACCTTGCGTAGACTTGGTGGATGGTCGTGTGATCCGGAATAAGCACTATGTTTATTCACTCATTGTACACGTTGTGCTGGCTATCGGTATAGTGAAAGGGGCACTATCTCGAACCCGTGGTTTTCTGATATTGTTCTGTAAAAATGAAATGATGCGAAATTTGCATGGTCGTCCCGGAGGTCTCGTGTTCGACCTCATCGACCTGTAATACTAGGTCGTAGGTTATGAATATGACCCTCATCTATTAAGTGAAAACTACTAGGATGTGCATTGCTATTAGACTAGTGCAGTTCGTTCGTTGAACTACTTGTCAATGTCGAAGATGAAAAGGGGCGTTGGGACCCGCCTCGTGATAAAACCTGCAGGCGAGCACTGCGGAAGTACATGTGGAGCACTGTAGGCCCTAGCCTAGAAAGAAGAAGAATATATATCCCCTCCTCCGAAGTTCCTCCTCCATGACCCAAGGGTGATATGACAAACGTCTGATATGCTGGAATTAATCCACTGGCGTCTGGACAGAAGGAAGAGTTTACAGGGTGTTTGGTGTGCTATGTGAAAGTGGCACGCACACACATGCTCCCATTTCTGCCTTTATTGCGGAGAGTAGCTTAGCCTTCCTCATGACACCTCCCAGATATTTCGTTTGCCGGAGTCACCAAATGATGACGGAAGCCTTTGGCAGATATTTGAGCTGGACGGGACCAAAAAGGCGCTAGGGATCAAAAACGCACCACCAATGAAGTGACTTCCGTCTCATGGCGGTTTGAAGAAGAAAACACGCTTCCTGTAATCTTGTGTTCATCCGTTCTGGTTGCGAGTTTCACCTTTCGGCTTTACAATGTACTTTCTGTAAGTACGTACGCTGTGCATTTTTTTCGTCAAGTAGGATAATGCGTAGGTCTGTTGAGGTTCCTTGAGCGCTTCGAGTCAATGCGTATGAGATGTGTGAAGTGGAGTGTTGAGCTAGGAAAGTCGCAACAGGCTGGTGGCAGCCAGATGTGGGCGATCCCGATTCCTGCTTATATATTTTCGTCTTGCATTACCCTTGATGGCACTCCGGAGGGGTTCCGCATGTCACAATGGTATTTGGGTACGTCATTAAAAATACCTAGTAGACATAGTCTATCGGTATATGACACAAATCGACACAAAGAAATGATTTTGTACGGCGCGCACGAAAGATGACGGTCTCCTCGAAGCAATGATATGTTGTAAATCCATCTCGAGAGCCTATTTAGTAGAAGGGTAGTATTTTCTCTCTTTGGTATATACTTGGAGTACATCGAGAACAAATGCAGCACTTCAAATATCTTGGCTGTTGAGTAGCTTTGTGCGTGGGTGCCTCGGCGCGGGGTCCCGTAGTGGGAAACAAAAGGTGCCAGCAGCTGGGTACTGCCAACGGTCAAAATGTAGAAACTATCCGCGGGCGTGAAAGCCCTTCTACGTGGTGGAGCGTGGAAGCTCGTGTATAATATAGTTGTGGCGTGGAAGCCGGGTGGCGTGGTGGCCCTGATGTAAAGGTATATTTAGGGACGTGGGAGTCCTGAAGGCGTGGAAGCCGGGTTGGCGTGATAGCCGGAGTATGGGCGTGGAAGCCGGGGTTGGCGTGAGAGCCGGAAAAAGGACTTGATTATACACAGAAAAAGGAAGTGAGGAACCACAAGCCACGCACACAAATTCCGTTGTAGACACCCATACCCTCAAACCTGCAATATGTGATAAAGTTGGTACCACCAAATCTAATCCATAGCAACCATTGACCCCCCAAACTCCCCGCTCCATCTGCTCGGGAAATTCTTGCTCGCAATAATCTGTTGATGCTGTGAGTACATCCAACAGCCCCCCTACTCGCTGCATTGGCAAGATTACACCCGGACTCATTTAACTACCTTACACATGCATACCCTCTTATACCAAATACCTGAACGCAAGGCTTAGTGATTAACATTCCATCCATCTCATGCTTCGTCTTCGCCAAAACACCATGACCCATTAAAC